GCCTAGTGATAAAGACCATCTCTACCTCTAACCATAAGGTGGTGCTTTGGGTCTCCAAGGGAATAAAGTGGAAAAGGGCCATTGCTGGACTCCTGGATAGAGAGGGGGTTCTTTCGGGTGGAAGGTTACATTTTGGAAAAGAAAAAAAAGTTGGTACTTGACTTGTATTGAAAATTTGTTATTGGTGCATTACCAGCTTATTGTGGTCTAAAATCTGACCATGCACTGCTGCTGAAGCTGTTTCTGTGTGAGAATATGTATGGTATTAGCTGAATGGTTTGAGCAATTACTTGCACGGACATATTAAAAGACTACTTCCCAGGGGCCTATAGCACGAACGAACAAAACCGATTTACTACTGAAGGCGAGTTAAACAAGATAACATAGCAGGGAAGAGTATGGCTCAGTCTTTCAGTTGTCAAACTGATGGGAGAGATATATCTGTCGCTTTTGTATTATATATATATATCAATCAGGGTTTAGTGTGAATTGCCAAAATAGCAACAGGGATTCATGCAGTTCATTTCCACAGTTAATTCTTATACCCTCTCTAGCTGTAAACATTGTCAAATTGCTAATATGTGAATTTGCTGACTAACTAAAAATACAATTAATTCGTTCTGTTTTGCTGTTTATTTCTTTTACCCGGAATAACTTTTGTGCTAAAAGAACATGACAAAATGGTCAGTCAGTTTCCAATTGACTAGCGGCAAATGAGACAAATTGCGTAGAGTCTCGCACTAGCTTTTGTCTTTTTTTTGTTATTCAAACCAAAATTAAAAAGCTCGCAGACCATACTATAAATTATATTGCCGTATGATTTTATAACACTATTTCCCTTTTGTAGCAGCAATATATGGCATAATCCTTGTAAAATATCTTATTCAAGTCAGCAAATAGGAAAGTGGAACTTGTCAACCGGAAATTAAACACTTAACCAGAAAAGTCTAATTGTGTAATCATGAGGCTTAATCAATCACCAATAAGATAATGGCTGATTAATCCCAAGTTAGAAGAAGGTGGGGGGCACTACCTAACTTGGAAAGGACACGAAGATAGAGAACAATTTATTACTTCATCCATCCATTTTTATTCAAAGTCAATTTGATTAATTTTTAAAGTTAAATTAGATTACATTAATTTAATATTTTAAATAAAAATAATAATATTCAAAAATTATACGAAAAGTACTATAAATTTCAATTTTTTGCATATTAATATAATGAAAATATACAACATAAAATGTTAATAATTTTTTTTTTATAGTTTACTCTTAAAAAAAAAAGGTTATGACAATTAAAGTGGACGGAGGTAGTAGTGAATAAAGTCCACGTAACATCTATGTAACTTTCTCTTTGCTGATTCCTATTTTTGAAGTACAACCAGTATAGTACAAGTTTCCCTAAGTTATGATGGACCCATGCGTTTATCTACATCCTCTAATTGTCTCAATTGATACTAATTCAAGTTTTTGCACCAAATTTATATGCTCTTGCGGCTCATTTAATAAAAAATTGTGAGAGTATTTTTATTTATGATTTAACTTTATTTGACATAAATTTAGAAAAAAAATCTTTTATTTTTTCATGAGTTAAAAATTAAGCTTTCTGGTATATAAGTATCTAATTCGTTCGACATAACTTTAAAAGACTTTTGTGCGTAGTATAAATTCTGTATGAATTAATTAAATTACGACTCTTACAATATAATTTTTGTGAGTTTTAAAAACTAAACATATGCCAACATAAGTTTCTTAGGAATTAAGTTGCATAACTTGTTATTTCTTTTAAGATATAGCTTATGTTATATTATAATACAAAAATATAAATTTATACCGAGCGAAAAGTTATCTCTTATTTCAATGTCAAAGGTAATTTCAACAACTTAAAATATCAAATTTTTTAAATTTGGTTTGAAGTTGGAGATGATCTTATTTGTTACTTAATGTTGAAGGATAAAAATTTACGATCATAAATTTGAGGAATAAAAATGAAAAACTTTCACAAAATTAAGGCATTTGTCTGAATGACCCAAATTAATTAAGAAGAAACTGTCATTTTTTTTTTTTTAATGATGAAGCGTATATTATTTCGAATCTCAATTTTTTTTAAAAGTATATGCGATAGATTAAAACATAGGATAAAAATTATGTTAACTTTATCAAGATAGTCGTATATAGTGTAAAAAAATGGAAGTAGATGATTCGTATTATTTTATCTTAAATAATTCATAACTGAGACTTAGTTTGAACGAAGAACTAAAATACGTATATGATGTGAATTGTTGAAGTATTTAAAGGACAAAAAGATTCTTGATTTCGTTTGAATTTGTTAATTATTAATTCTTCCTAGGAAAAGCCAGGAGATGGAGTAGTTGAAGTTTGGTCTCTCCAAATTAATAATGTAATCAAGGAGTTAATTGAAGCCTAATCCTGAAAGTGATACAAGGAAATTAGAAGCTCTTTCTCCTTTTTATTCAATCTTATATTATTTTTGTGTGGAGAAAAGTAAATTATATTACTTATTAAACCTTTCGTCTGGACGCTAGGGACTGTGATGGAATAAATCATTTCTAGTAGTTGTTTGATTATAAAATTTAAAGGTCAAACTTGAGGTTCTTATTTGAAAGTGTTTGTTTATGAAATATGAAATAAAAGTTTAACAGTATGTGATAATTTGAAATTTTAAGTTCACTAAAAAGTAGGATTTTAAATTTTGGGTTATAATATTTTTTAAATTTTAACTTTACAAAAAATAAATAAATTATCCTCAACATGAACATATTATTGATACCATGTGAGAGGATTATATTAAGTAAGTACTAGTTACAATTATTATTGTTTTATTAGATTGGTAGAACTTGGTAAAATTATGTGTATTAACTTTGCGGTATATATCATTTAATTTGTGTATTTATTTATAAATAAATAAAAATATAAAACTATATATTTTGTTAACACGGCAACTTGAGATTAGGGGTGTGCATTCGATTTTTCGGTTTGGTTTTACACTATTCGGTTTGGATTTTCGGTTTTTGGTTTTGTAAAATTAGTGTAACCCAATCCGATCCAAAATAAAATTGGTTTGGTTTGGTTTGGTTTTTCTCTATTCGATTCGGCTTTTTTCGGTTTGGTTATTCGGTTATGTCAATAATTAATAACATATATAACCAAAGTAATAATATTTAATCCCTTAAATATACTTTCTAATATAAATCATAAGTAAAACTTAAAACACAATACTTATAAGTATACCTATTATAGATGTAATTCAAACATAAAATATAAACGTAATCATCATGAAAGGCAATAACCAAAAAGGGACAAAAGTGGTTAACTCCAACTTAATTCTAAGCATAAACATTATATATATAATTCGGTTTTTTTCGGTTTTTCGGTTTTTATTTTTAAAATTCAAAACCAAACCAAAAAACCAAACAAAGTAATTTATTAATCCAAAACCAATCCGAAAAACCAAAAAACCAATCCAATTAAAAATTCGATTTGATTTGATTTGGTTATTCGGTTTAATCCGAAGTGCACACCCCTACTTGAGATTCTTTTCTAAGACATTGTTTAAGAACTATGATTCTGTTTAAAGGTAAAATTATAAGAATTGAGAAAGTCTTTTACAGGAAAAAGTACAAGCGTATAACTTATTGAGATTCAAAATATATGTTTAATAAAATTTCTATTTCAGATCAACCTGATTTAAATCATGATTAAATTTCTTAATTAGAGATTTTTAAATTCAATTCTAACAAAGAAAAAAGAAAAAATTTAAATTCTTTTTCTTTGTTAATAATTTTTAGATAATATAAATTTAAATTAGTCGTAACCTATGATCAAAGAGGAAAGAAGTAAAGAAGAAAAAATTGCTTCTTTGGTCATGAAGAGATCATTCTTCTACAATTCTCTTTCTTTGAAAAGAAAACCCCACATTTGAAAATAACAGATTGCTTGTAACGTGAGATCCCTTTGTAGAGTCATTTTCAATAATATTATATGTATATGTGTAGGTAAATTATCATAATCCTAAAAATATCTCTAAGCAAAAAATAATTCCACCAATGCCCTGCAAATTAAAGCCAAATATATATATAGTGATAGTACTAAAAAGGAAAAAAAATTAGTAGATCCCAATTATTAGACAACCTGGTCCCTTTAGTCATCACTTCTTGGACCCACCATTCCCTATCATAATCTTCTACTTATCTATTCATCCAGTCAGCAACATACTTTCTATAATTAATACTATTGCTTTTTTTCCTAATTATAAAATTATATATAATATATTCTTTCCTTCCACAAATATAACACTATCTCTTTATTAGTTCATTTCAAAAAAATTATATTTGACAATACTTTGCATTTCATCACTTTTAATAGATATTTAAAAGCTTTATCATCACACATATTGTATAAAATATATATTTTCAATTTGTGTGATCGTATCGAATTAAACTATGTTAAAATCAAGATAGTACTAATACATATTATTAGGTAAATTATAATTTTACTAGATGTAGACCCAAAAACAACCCGTTATATAATCATTAATATCATACTTTACTTGCCTTTATACCCAAATATGGGTTTTCTCTTTGCTTCAAATGTAACTTCTTAAAGTATAATTGGTGATAAAATGAGAGCAAAACATGACTTGTAGTTATGTTTAACCACAAGTCTTTATCTTAAAGCTGCACATAACAAACAAAACAAATTGTGTACATAAGCTAGAAATAGTGTAGGTGATTTATGCAAACAAAAAGCTCATAGAACGACACCGTTTAATGTGCAAACTGTAAACAAAAACCGACAGACAAATGGTGGGATGATACAAGTTAACTGTGAAAAAAAAAGGGATGCTGAAACTGCTGGCGCTGAGGGGTGGTGGGTCACTTGTTTCTGAAAATTGTGTCCTTTGAACAAAAAAGGAAAAACATTTCGTCCAGATTATAAACCCCTCTTGTATATCCATTTAATTTTCCCCCTATGTCCACTGTTTTGAGGTTAATTTTTTCTCTTGACTTTTCTGTTGATGTTCATAGGTAATTGTTTATTTTAATGAACATGTTTGAGTTTTCAAGTTTTTGGTGATTTTCTTGGTATTATTAAATTATTTTCTTGTCTTTTTTTACTTCATTTTTTGCTATCTTCCATGTTTGTAAGGAGTGGAGGTTTGGGGTGGAGTAAAAATCTCAGCTTTATCAGTATATGCTGCTGCTGATGATGATGATGAGTGTGTAAGGATTTATATGGGTTTGGGGAATCAAGATTGCTTATAAAAATTTGATCTTTGTGGTTCTTGATTATGCAAGCTTAGTTTAGTTCTTTGTGAATTGTGATAGAGAGAAATCTGTAGTTTTCTCTGATATCTACTAGTATGAGTTATTTTAATGGGGGCAAATTTTGGATTTAATCTTTTGCTAATTTGGTGGTGTTGACTGTGCATGTGATGGTGTGAAATTCTCTTTTTTGGTGTATTTACTATGCTAAGACTGGTAAACTATTTCCAGGGGAGATTCCCTGGAGTAGGACTTTTAATAAGTAAGTTGTGGTTGGATTTTTTTTTTTTCTTTGGAAGGACGAAAAAAAAAAAGATTCTTCCCGAATATTCAGAACTGGAGTTTGGGGTAAATTTGGGATCTGTTTTCAAACATCTTGAATGGTACTTTAGGCCTTGTAGTTGGGTTCTTTTGGTTCTGTTTTGAGGATTTTTTGGTATGTGAGGGGGGCTTGGCTCTCTTCAAAAACCACTGGATTTTATAATATTTGGTGGCAGATTTAGACTGTCGTAGTGGTGAGGTTACCTAATTAATGCATGCACAAATTTACCATTGTATCTTTTTGGCTGTCTTTCGGCAACTATTTTCATTGTTATTTCTCTGTTCCAGAATATGTTCTGTAGAAAAGATAGGAATATAACAGGCAGTAGATTCTTCATTCATCTGAGTTGTTTGATTGAATTTATTCTCATTTTGTACATATTATCATCTGGAGAGCTTGAGATACAAAGTACTTTTTTAAATCTGCAATGAGAGCTTCACATGTTTTTTTTTTACCCTCCCTAGGAGCTCCCACCCCTTTTTGCTCCCTTGGTGACTCGAACTTGCAACCTTCAGGTTGGAAGTGAGGGGTGCTTACCATCCGAGCAACTCCCTCTCGTCAGAGCTTCACATGTTACTTTCTTCTTTGCGTATTTTTAGTTTAAGTGGCATAGGAGTACTTTTTAACCAAAAGATTTATTTTGTGGGGGTAAACGATGAATTGGGATTGGATCATTGCAAGAGGAGATGGTCAGATGTGATAGAAAGGTTCTTGCCTTTGTCCAAGGGGAGTCATTGACACCCCTTAGTCTTCGGTACTTCTTTATATGGTGAATCCCCTTATAGAAAATCTCAACCCCGCCATTGCTTGTCATCATGCATTTTCATCCCCCCCCCCCCTCTCTCCCCTCTTTAAAGAACTAGTTTCTATGTTGAGTTTTGTTCCTGCAAATCAGGTTTCATCTATTTGTCAAATACTGTTCATATTTATATGTTTGTCCTCGAGAGTGATGCATGAATCTTGATGAACTCAGTGTCTGATGGATTTTTCTGTGACAGCAAAATGTGCAGAAGAATGAGCTAGTAATGGCTGTGGCAGAAGCAAGAACTGCTTGGCAAAGAGCAGTTAATCGATGTTTGGTCCAGGAAGATGCCAAACGAGCTCCAAAGTTGGCATGCTGCTCATCAGCATCACCCTCAGCAAAACAGGTTGATGCTGGACCTGCAAATGGTGCCGATGCACAAAATCCTTCTGGCACATACTTCATGCCTTTTGACAGGAACTCTTCATATTGTGATTTATCCCCTAATTCAAGATGGTGGCTGCATCTTCAACCTAATTATGGGTATCAAAAAGGCTTAGTGAGTGAACTGGTAGATTCTATTGAAGCAGAGATGGAGAATATTGGACCAGATTTAGATTCAATCCCTAAATATAACAAGTTGTGTGATCAGAATGAAGCAGATAGTAGTTGTATGGATAAATTTACTGTAGGTGGATCTCTAGATTCTCAGGTTACAAGATCTGCAAGCTATGTAAACAATGACTTGGGAGTTGGAAGCAAAGAACTGACAGATGTGTTTACTGAGATTTCCAAGGATAGTCCTAACCTCGAGGACACAGGGTATCCCAATGAAGCAAGTAAGAAAGGTCTGGTTGATCTCACAGTCGGAAAGCAGATAGATGAGCTTTCATTTGATACAGAATATCCCTGGATTGGTGTTGAGAAAACAGAACCATGGTGGCGAACTGCAGACACAGAGGAACTTGCTTTATTGGTTGCACAGAGATCACATGATTTTATGGAGAATTGTGATCTTCCCCAGCCTCAGAATAATTTTGTTAAACAAGACCGCGACGTGGATGTTGACAGTAAGATTTATGCTTCTTCTACGGGTTCGAAAGCTGGAAGTATGCGCCAGCAGAATACGAATATTTATAAACGTGGCAATCTTTCTTTTGAACGCCCGTCACAGTTAGATGCTGAAGGGAAGTTGCAGCTTCACACTTGCAAGTCATCAAGGTATTGCGTAGGACTAGCTTCCGTCACTGCTTAATGTACTATATATCGTTCTTATACTCACAATTATTCTACCAATATGGAAAAAAGCTCTACTGCACATACATACAATTACTAGCAATCTAGCATCTATATATATGAGGCTGAGTGTTCGAACTTTGTGGTCCATATCTGCGTCTCTAGCATTCTTCTCGGCTTAGAATGTAATTTGATGTTAGTGTACATATGCTTATCTTGATAGTTTAGACTTCCATGCAAGGTTTTCTTTGCACTTTGTTGACAAAACTGCCCTTTTTCCATGTTGAATTGCACAACTTATATGAAATGGATCGCACCTATATGATTTCATAGTTGTTTTATCTTGCTTGGTCGGTTTGGGTCAAAGTGCAGTCATTTAGAGGAACTGGGTCTTAATCTATGAACTCAAGTGCAAAACCTAGTAGCATGTGTTTTCACTTTCAGGTTCAATAACTCAAGAAAACAATGATATAATTTTATTTATTTAAGTGTGTTATTTTCTTATGCTGTCATTGATAACTGTCTCATACATCAAATGCAATGAACATGAGAACTGTTAATTCTCTTGCATTACTCTTTTGGTAACTTGACACTTCTCTCCAGATTTTGCAGCTCTTCAGATGTTCATTTGTTCCATGATAGTAATATTGATTTGTTATGTTGTCAATTAGCTGCAATCTGGTGCATGCAACATGTTAGCAGTTTTATGTCATCGGAACAAGTGATCTTTTATGAGATAACAATGTCATCTACTCCTCCAAGTGAATGGCATATACTCTAATAGCCACTTTTCGCGTTTCAACGTTTCTAGATTGATTTCGAGTAGTATTTCTTTAGTGTGTCTATACTCTATAGAGCATGTTTGAGGTGCTTAAGAACTTTTTACTTGTACATAGTTTGAAGAACAGTGACACCCCTAGCCAAAAGGTTGTGCCTGAAATGAACACATCTGGAGATGATGAAAGCAAGGCCCAACTACTAAAAGCACTTCGTCATTCTCAAACGCGTGCTAGGGAAGCTGAGAATGCGGCAAAGCAAGCCTTTGCGGAGAAGGAGCACGTTGTTCAGCTGGTCTTTAGACAAGCATCACAACTTTTTGCCTACAAGCAATGGTTCCAGCTACTGCAACTAGAGAACTTCTACTTCCAGATTAAAAACAACAAAAAACAGCCAATGTCGACCATGTTACCAAGGGTGCCCCAGAAAACTAAGAGACCGCAGAAGTCGTCTGCTAGGGTGAAACGAGCCAAACGTGGCCGTCCCAAGTATGACTTGAGCAGATATGCAGTTGTTTTTGCATTAGGTTTGGGTCTTGTTGGTGCAGGTTTGCTTCTTGGGTGGACAGTCGGGTGGATGGTACCGACGTTCTGAGCTGTGTAGATTGTATCCAATTTTCCTGTTAATAGTAGTTTTGTAAAGATTGGTTTACAGGGGAGTTGACTGAGTGGTTGTGTCTATGTATGTTAGTTGTATGATGATGATCATTTCTCCATTTACTTTGGTCTCAGCTTTTAGTACTTAAATTGAAATTAAATACTGAGCTTTCCCTCAGTTTGTACTTGAAGACAAGCAAGCATGTATATATTTTAGGCAGAATCGTGTTTTTTCCTCACCAAAATTATGGTTTCTATAGACTCTTTTGTATTGTCATGATTAATGGATTTCTTAGAGTTGTTGATTATTACTATTATTTTTAAAAAGTTTAATTGTGTTATATTGTGAATGAGATTATTAGTTTGATTAGTACACAAATTCTGATATATTGTTATTAAGATTTTCTTTTTCAACCTGGATTTCCAACTATGCAAACGAAGTGTTATTTTATGCTAATTTACGTCTAATGTGGAGTACGTTAGTGGACATGTCTTCTCCACTTGACTAACATATTTTTGTGCCAAAAAACAAACCTAGGGTATAATTGCTCAAGTAAAAATAGTTTTAAGGGATTCTTTTTTTTACATCGGGGTATGCGTATTTGTGTGCAAGATTGGGAGAGAGGAAGAGGCAAGCTACCAATATCAGCTGCAAGTCAATTATCTACCTATTCACCTTTCTCCCCTATCTCGCTTGCCTCTCAATTTTCTAAAATTATTGCTATGAATTGTAATTAGATAAACTACTAATTAATTATGGTCCAAACTATAAAAAAAATTCCTCTTATTCTTTGTATTCTATAACCAGGTACAAATACATGGGCCTGGGATAAACGTTATGGGCCGGGTCTCTTCAAAATAACCGACCCGCTAAACTCGTAGCTTACACAGCACAGCAGCCAACATCTTCAGACTTTTCTGGGTGATAGGAAATTTACGGGAAGAAGAAGAAGAAAAGAAATGGCTGTAATGGGGAAGTTGAGAATGTTCGTGGTTCAGGAACCAGTCGTAGCTGCCTCTTGTCTCATCGCTGGATTCGGTGATTCTCTCTCTATCTTTACGCTATCACCAAATCTACGATTTTATTAAAAATAAGTTGTTGTTTTTTCATTTGTGACAATTGAATTTTACACATAAATTCAGAATTTTTGAACTGTATATTGATGGGAATCGGCGTCGATGGACCTATTGTGGTTGAATCTATGAAATCTGATGTTTTCAAAGTTCATATTTTTCTAACAAAACCCTGCAAATCGGCAGCTAGGACTTACATTTTTTTTGTCCATATAATGATTATTTCGATACCAGCTTCTCTGAATGTACTAATGCTTGATTGCTAACTCCCTATAAATTTATGTGATCACTGATTCAGCAATCCTCAATTTGGGTATTGTAATTTTCCATGGGCAATATTTTATTTTATTTTATATAATTGAGGTTACAATTAGCTCTTCATAGCATATATAGTGGACCTTTAATGTAGTGATTGGTCTCAGTATGTAGAGGATCTCTTTTGGAGGTATATAGAGGTTTTCGGAGATTTATAACATTGTGATTAATGGGATAATGTGCTCGTTGAGTACACAGTTTCTTGTGATTAAATAGGCATACTAGGATATTAGTCCAAGACACTTTTCAGGGTATCTGTTCCTCATTGTGAGCTCTAAGTATCAAGTTCGACTTTTGTGAGTGAATCTGCTTATTCATCAGTTGAGCTGTAGGTTTTTGGTTAGCAGTGGCCAGTGGGTTAATTAGAATTTGCAGTGGGCTAGTGGCAGCTGATTTGCCTCTTTATCTAATTGAAAGAATATAAAAGGTTTTGGCCTGACTCTTATTCTGATAGTAGGGAATGTACAGCAAATAAGTAGATAATTGAGAAGAATAACCTCCACATATTGTCACGAGTATGATTTCTACAAAAGGATAACCTGCATCAAGTTGATCTGTTGCCCAAACAGGAATCTGCTACCAGATGACTCCTTATTCTTGCATTTTACACACGTGAGCGCGCATATGACATATATATTTGTACGTCTCACTGTAATAGAGCATGCAAACTCTCTTTTGTACTTGTTATCTTTCCTATATCTTCATCTCATTGATGCCATCGATATCACTTCCCCAAAAAAAGATGTCTCTATTTATGTATGGACGTCTTTATGACTTTTCCTTAGGAGTGAGTAAAGGATGGGAGCCCAGAATCTGTGAGCTGACTGTAGAGAGTGGGTTCCTCTTATTGCTTTTCATGCTTAGACCAGCCTAATTCCTGAATGCAAAAGCTATATCTGAGGCATATGCATCTTAGGCTCTTAGTGTTATTTTCCTGCTGCATTATGACAGAGGTGACAAAGTGAGACCTAAAGAAGAGTGTACATTTTCTTTCTTTTAGCATTAAGTATGTTCTCATCTGCATATCAAGCAGAGAAATCAACAGTATAGGAATAATAGATCTGGATGTCCTTTACTAAAATGGAATGATGGTAGAGCAGAGGTTATCAACCTCAGCTTCTTCACATGTCTATCTACATTCATTAAATTATATTTAGTTTAAGATTTTAAAAGCTGATCTTTTTCAGATTATTATTTGATCTAATAGAGGGATTTCAATAAGTGAGATATCTTCTTTAAAACTATAATCTACTAATGGACATATTCATCTGTCCCACTGGGTTTTGAAACCAGTAATTTAGTAACAGGAATTTGGAGAAGCCTGTCTCTGCAACTGTCTAGCCATTGATCATGCAAGTAAGATTCATTGACAACTCTGTGTTTTGTCCCTTATGTGCTTCCAGAGATGCGTCATGGGTGTTGTCTGTTATTGCCTCCCAGTAACCCTTAGTAGATTAGTTTCCTGTATGGCACAAGCCAATTAGCTCAGCCTTGCTGAGAAACCCTCTTGCAAAAGAAATGTGTGTTAGTAGCTCAGGAGAAGATTACTTTGGTTAATGACTTGGTGATTCTTTTTACCAACTCAAGAAGTTGGAGTCTGTGCATCGTATAATGATGACCATTCAATTACCTACTGAAGTAGTACATTTTGTATACTGTTTTTTGAGAGGACACGTAATGACCTTCTATTCCTATCTGCCTTTCTCTTCGATTGAGAATCAGTTTGTCTTATATTGCTTGTAATTTCAGGCCTCTTCCTTCCTGCGGTCGTAAGGCCTATTCTGGACTCTTTTGAATCATCCAAGCAAGTTCCGGCACCTCCTTTAAGCGATGTGAGCAATTGTCCATCTTTGTTTTATGTTCTTTCTGGTTTATGCAACTGTGTTTTTCCCTCTTATTAGTCATATTCCTCATCATGTGTAGATATGTTTATTGGTTTGTTTGATCTTTGCTTATACATAAAGGCTGTATTCTTTTGGGGATAAGCATAAATTGTCCCTTTACAATATGCTAGTTCACATTCTTGTGTATACTAAATAGGATATTCAATGTCATCCATTTTTACTTATCTTTTATTGTAGGTGAATTGCTTTGACTCAGATTGTACGAGTGTGTTATAGCATCATATTGTGCCAATTTAACTGATGATTTTTGTTATAAGCGCTAAGTTGAGATTTGAATTGCAAATTAGGAGATTTAGCCTCTTGTTTTTCGGATCAACCAACATCCATATATTCACGCTGTCTCATTTTTTCCTACTGATTGCCAGTTATCTCTCTAAGGTTAATATCATAGAGCTCCGGAAATTGGATGCATGTGGCATTCCAAAGACTCTAAACTAGTTTCTGAACTGAAATGCTTTCAAACTGCTTATAAGTTGTTCATGTCGTACGACAATGAAGATCTTCAGCTGATTTTCGTTCTCTTCTTCAATTAACATAGTTTGCTACTTTGTGCAGGTGGTTGCGGGTATGACTGGTAAAAAACAAGGATAAGATACTTGTGAGGTTTTAGTTTCAACCAGCTCCTTGTAGGCTTATTCCATCCCTCTTGTTTCATCCTGATCAGAAATGAAAATAAGGCCTTTTTTTGTGGATACTTTAAATGTTTTGTGCAAGGGGGGGAGACCCTCCTCATTTGTAAGCACTTGACAGAGCCAGTGCTACTTGGATTCAAATACCGAATTGTCTTCAGTTATAACCTAATTAAATGCATCTGAAGCTTATCATGATTTTAATTTGTCTCTGTTTGAATTGCTTGTTAGTTAGTTCTCTCAAGAATTTTGTTCATCTGAGCGCCTCCTCTTTTGATTTTAGCAACCCAGTATAAAACTGAAGTAAACCCGAAATGATCACATGCTACTAATGTAGATGACTGTTGGTGGGTTAAGTCTTCACTGTCTGAAGTATACCCATACTATCATATGCGTTTTTCTTTATTTGTCACGATGGAAACTCAATTTTTTATGTTGGTTAGACTTGGAAGTATTTACCAAAGTATATCTGTTGGTTGGAAAATCAAAAAAAAATTCCAGGTCGGGGGTGGCGTGGGGTACTTCTCGTGTAGCTATGCCATCGGCATGACCAAAATGCAAACCATAAATATTTACCTGATGATGCAAGGATATATAAATGGAAATGTAATCTAGAAAATGATCTCACAATATTTACAATAGGTTCTGGTGAAATTCAAGGCTAATGATAGTAGATTGCTACATTCAAGCCAGGAGACATGGTACATTTGTTTCTATATTTCCTGAGTATTTAACCAGGAGTACTTAAATGACTAGAGAAAGCAACATAAAGTCTTCACTTCATAAACATAACAGCTATTGTTGAAACTTAGTCAATAAGCGCTTCTTTCTTTGATTTTTTGCTCTTCCATGGTATTACCTGCTTGAAACCCTCGTATATTGTTGCCTGCAAGATTTCAACAAGAACAATACTTGAGTTTAGTAACGCTGATGGAAAATAGAAGACGACACAAAATTCTACTTATGAAGGCCAAACAATAATGGGAATGATAGGTTCGTAATTTATTATGAATATGAATCTCGAATATTCTACTGGATGGATACTTGTTAGTATTATTTCATATTCTATCAGTACATGTATTTACTAATTGTGCCTACCAAAACTAAAGAACTCACCCACTTATTTATTGTCCGAGTATAAAGTCTGATCTTTCATAATGTTCACCAACTTTATTAATTGCTAAGACACATCCTTTAATTTCGATTGAGAAATGTTGGGATGGGAATGCTGAATGTTGATGAATGATAATGATAGCAGAGCAAGAAAAACTGCAATGGTGAAAAGTCTACACATTTCCCAATCCATTACTAAAAACAG